CATCGGCGTCGTCTCTGTCTGCGGCCGAGCTCGCCAGGGCAAGAGCTTCATCCTCAACCAGGTTCGCCTCTTTCAGAATAAGAAGTCCAGGGCAAAAAAGAAAAAAAAAAGTTGTATTTTTTTTTGGGTTCTTGAAAGTTGTTAATTTTGTTGATTATGTGCGAAGAATTCTCAATAGACCGACAGTTGGCTCCCCATTTAGTTAACGTGTGAGTAAATTGACCCTAACATAATCTCGCTTTCAACTATCCTGTGAGAACGTGAAGTTAGCCTTTTAGAATACTTTCTTGTAAGATCCCTTGCAATTGAAGTGCAGTGGCAAAATCTTACAAAATTGCAAGTCTACATATTTTTCCCTTTCCAGAAACACACTTATTACTCGGGTACTTTGTATTTTCTTCGTTTGCTTTGTTTAAGACATGATGCAATTCAGTACTTACTTATATCTCTATGGCTCTTTCGTTTTGCATTTTGTATTTTTATTAAAAATAAAGATTATTTTGAACTTATCTTCCTCGTTCTTATTTGTTTTAAATTGAAAAAAGAAAAAGAAAAAGAACAAGTAATCTACATTATGCTTTGTCTATATTCTTTTAACCTAACTAGAGGCAGAGGATTACGTTATACATTATCATTATTTTCAACATTGATGTGTTTGTTTGTATCTTTATTAAATGATGAATGCAATTTAAACATTTGTATCTTAACTAGTTTACATATCTCATTCATAATTTCACGTTCACTTCATGTTCCACAAATCATAGGACAATTCCAAGTACAATGATGTCATTAAATGTCAATCGAACAATAAAAGAAGCTAGCAAGGTCTAACAGATGTTATGTTGAAATAGCGTACCTTATACTGAGCTTACACATGTTACGTTGTCTTAGCCTTGAAACAGTTTATGCTTTACAATGTGTCTATGCTGTTTGAAAATGCTATGTAGAGTTTTAAGGATTCTTATGTTACACAGTACAAAATAATGCGTTACGTAGTGGCGTTGTTTTATTTTATTTTATTTTTGGGGTATCTGCTGTAATATAGTGTATAGATGATTTTGGTGGCAATTTTGTTGTTCTAAGATTCCTTAGAAGCAGATGAAGATGTATAATAATTAGAATCCGTAACTAATACGAAAACTCAACCTGTTCTTTGATTTCACTTAAAATACATAGAAAATTAAAATAAACTGTAGACCTTATTCTAATCTTTTAAATTATTTAATGTATTTCGCTTTTTTATTTTAATTAATTCTGCATCATCATTGAAAATTTAAAATTGAGTTTTTTTGGCAATGTATAGAAGCCATTCATTATTCAATTCTATCATTAGAGTGAAAATTAGGTAGTTTTATTACCACTTATAGAATTGTATTCTTGCTTTAATTTTGAAAATGGTTATTAATATTTTATTTATTGTTATGGAGTAGTATTAAATTCTTGTTGTAGTGTTTTCACCACGGAAATATTCTGAAGTACATAACGTATAAAATAAAAAACACAAGGAGAGAGACCAAAAGAATATAATCATTATCAGGTTTTCTATAAACTAAAGGTTGAGTCATATAGCCAATAATCTATTTCAAATACTCTAGTCAGTAATTTAAAGATTTCGGTATAAGTAATTAAACTCATATAATTCGATAGAGAAACAAAAATCCAGTGAAGCCTGCACACTATGCTTTAAATTGGGCCAGCCTGAGCATAGCAAAATATCAATCTCATTTGTCATGATTATCCTGACATGCAGCGAGTTATGTAAGTTATTGCATTCAGCAATAGGTCTTGTGCTATTTACTTTCTTAACTATGATACATTAGTGAGTGGTATTAATAAATTATTTTGGCTAACTAACATTGACCATATCTATAGCTTCTAGGAAGGAGCAGTGGGTTCCAAGTAGCCTCTACTCATCGACCATGCACGAAGGGCTTGTGGATGTGGAGTGTGCCCATAAAGAGAACTGCTCTTGATGGAACTGAATACAATCTTCTATTGCTGGATAGCGAAGGAATTGATGCCTATGATCAGACGGTTAGGCTCTCTAATTTTGTTTTACTTTTTAATGATTTGATTTGCTCCAGGATTATGTGTTCATACTTAGGCATGTTATGAATCCCTAATAACTGCTCTGAACATTTTATTATTACTAAGTTTTATACACGTACAATGCACGTCGTTAAATATCATGATTAAGTATTTTCGGCTTATTTCCTGACTAAAATATGTTCCTTGATTCCATTTCAATAGTTTTTTCTCACTTTTGTCCCTAAACTTTAACATTGCGATTATTTATTCTCTTTAATGTTTGTTTAAATGAGTTGCACCCAATTTAAATTTTTATGTTGATAGTTGAATTGATAGAAAACAAATATAATTTGAAGCCAATTTGAATTTTTATATTATTTAGACTGACATGAAACCAAATTTTACTTGAGAAAGTACAGTGTTGCAATAATGAAAACATTGAAATAGTGTTATATAAAGAAGGTATAGAGTTAAAACTAATAAGACAAGATGATTGATTAGAAGTATGCTAAAACAATACAAAAGATAATATGAAGTTTGTTCCAAATCATTGATGGACTTCATAAAAACTTATAAACTAACGATTAATGCTAACTCTAGTATACTTTTATATGATAAAAGTATTCACATAAACATTTAAAAGTACCGAAACAAGTTCATGAAACTCTCTTCTAAAGATTTCTAATTTCACTCAAAATATTTAAACTATTATATAAAATATTCAAAAAATATTGTCTTTTATTCTTTCTATTTTATTTTTTTATTAAGCTGAGATCAATCCTTCTTCACCTTTATCTTTTTCCTGTGCAATTCTAGAGTAATGTCTTCATCATCTACATCGATTGTGACATCAGATTAGAGTTGTATTTTTCATGTTATTTTTCTTGGGCTCGCTAATCTTTTATCTTCTCGTTTAACTTCACAAAGATGTTGAATGTACTTTCGATGTTCAATACAAACTTCTTGAAATACAGAGTTTGATTTTTTCTTATTTCAATGAGAATGAATGTTAATTTCGTATCTATTAAATTATGTGTTCCTAATTTATTACTTCAATAAGATTAGGAGCTACCTCTTTTTTCTCTACAATGAATTTTTCTTACGTGCATTCAATAAAAACTTCTGTTATGTTAATAATATTGCATTTGCTCCATCCCTGTTATTTACCACGAATATCTGAACTAAGTTCCTGTATTTTTCATTGCCAGTTTACCTTAAATTATAATATTAATATTTAATTTTTTTTTTGTATTTGAAGAACAACATATTTTATTTATGAATATTTACTAAATTTTCTTGTATCTTCTATGAAGAATTCTTCTTTGATTAGGACAAATTTGTTAAATTATTCTTTAATGCAACTCAGTCAGTGATTCTTTGATAGTTATGTCTTATGTTAATGTCAATTCAAGTGATTCATGGACGTTTTCTGAATTTTAAATTTATTTCTGTCACTTTCTCATTTGCAATAGAATTAGCTTGATTCTTTTGAAGGATATTTCTAAATATTCTAATAGTTTCTTCATACATAATTCCTTGAATTCTTTTATCCTATAAATATTATTAACATGATAACATCAGAGATTAATGTTTCTAAATTATAATCAATTAATGCTAAGCTATTATATTTGGCATTTTATCATTTTCATGGATTTAAACTTCTATCAATTAATGTTACTTATGTATTTTTACTTCTCCAACGTATTAATAAAATTATATGCAGTTACTTTGATTTATATGATGATGATAATTTTTAAGCTATCATATATTTTTAAATTTTTTATTTATCAATTGGATGTTTTTAATCAATTTTTATCGCTTTTGTTTACTAGGATCAACTTAGACTATTTTTAGATCCTGAAAAGTTATAATAAGCCCTAAATTTAAAATTATATATATATCTTAATAAAAATACCAAACAATTACACTTTTTTTGCGAAGTCTTGAAATTTCAGCCCTTTTTTGTGGTTTATAAACTTTGAAGGTGTGATTTGTAATTTTTAAAACATTTGAGTGTTTTTAAAAAAATTTACTTTTAAGTTTAGTAGTTATAACTTCTATGTTTCATGTGTCGGTGGTAATTTTTAAATGTCGGGATATTTCTTGCAACTCTAAAATTTTGAGGGTGTTTTTTGCAATTATTAAAATTTTGGTTATTTTTAAAAAAATTTAGAATTCAGCGGTCTGCCAATAGTTTCCAAATTTGATGTGCACTGGTTATAAATTTTGAAATTTTAGAGTTTTTTGTGATTTTTAAATTTTGTAGGAGTTTTTTTGTAATTTTTGTAAATTTTGAGGTTAATTTTTGTAAAATTTAAAAATTTATGTGCGTAAGGGTAATCTCTAGAATTCATTTTTGATGTTTGCAAATTTTAAAATTTTAGAATTTTAGGGTGTTTTTTAAGGGTGTTTGTATAATTTTTGGGATATTGAGGATGTTAATTGTAAATTATAAATTCTTTAGAGGCTGATTTCTTAATTTCATGTTTGTTGTTTTTAGTATTGAAACGTCAGAAATTTTCACATGCATCATAGCAATCCCTTGAATTTATCTATATTATTTACAAGTTTTAAAATTTTAGAACTTCAATGTGCTTGTTTGTAATTACAACTTTTGAGGACGTTTCTATAATTTTTGAGAAATTGAGGTATTAACTGAAATTTTTAAAATTTTCACAGGCTGCTGTTAATTTCTTAATTTTATGTTTGTTGTTTTAAGATTTGAAACGTTAGGATGTTTTTTATAATTTTAAACTTTTTAGGGTATTTTGTGCAATTTTAAAACTTTTTAGGGTTTTTAAACCAATATTTCATATATTATAATATGTTAGCTACGTATAATTTCTTTACCTTAACAAACTAATACTGTGAAGTTGTTATAATATATATATATATATTATTGATATTATTTTTTAAAATTGTTGAGCTATAGATAGTTCATGTAGGATTAGGATAGAATATAATAATAATTAGGATAGATTAAGATTTAAATAAAATATTCAAAATAGTGAAGGATAATATTGTCCATGAAAAGTTTTTCTCGAACTTGTTCATTTAAAGGGAGTGTGATTATTGTTAAGAAAGGCCATAAGAGCCTTTTAAATTTTTGTCTTGAAGAATGTTAAGAGTCTGTGTTTATTGCAAAAATGTCTTTAAAACCTGCAGTTAATACACATGCTTGTCATGTGCTAGTGAAAAATAATTCAAGATTCTTTAGTGCTGATTTGATATATTTGCTTCTATAGTATCCATTCCATGCTCATATACTTTGAAAAGAGTATTTATTCATGAATTGTTATTGTTTCAAGCCTGAATTTTTCCATGTGAATTTTAGTTTTCAATTCATATCATGGCATTTTGATATTTCTTCGTTCTTTGTTTGTTTATTCTCATGGTTTGACTTATGAAGATCATTCTATTTGGTTAAATCAATATTGATTGCATGTTTGACTTTTTGTTTTGATAGGGGACATACAGTATTCAGATATTCTCGTTGGCTGTCCTTTTGTCAAGCACGTTCATATATAACCAGGTAAAGATGTCTTCTAGTGAAACCATATTTGATCTTAGATTCTCATAAGATGCGAAGTTGCTAGAACTCTGATTCTTAGAATGGTGAATGCTTTTGTTTCTGTTGATAGGTCTTAGTTTTCTTTTTTACCTAATGTATGCAGGTTTAAGTATATCACTTAAGCTAATGTTTTGTGTTCTTTAGATGGGTGGCATAGATGAGGCTGCACTTGATCGTCTAGCTCTTGTTACTGAAATGACTAAACATGTTCGTGTTAGAGCCTCTGGTGGGAGATCTACGACATCTGAGCTCGGTCAATTTTCACCAGTTTTTGTCTGGTTGCTAAGGGTACATCCAAAAGATAGATTTACATGTGCCTAAAAACAACTTTCTTCTATATTCATTTCTCCTTTCCTCTCGATTTATGCTACTCTGATTAACTATATCATCTTACATCTTGGTCTAGGATTTCTATTTGGATCTTGCTGAAGATAATAGAAAAATTACACCTCGCGATTATTTAGAGCTTGCCCTGAGGTCCGTGCAAGGAAGTGGGAAAAATATAGCTGCGAAAAATGAGGTGATTGTGATTTTGTTTCTAAAATTTGACTTAATCATTGACATCTTCTGTTTTGCACTTAATTTTCTTGACAAGTATTTATTGGTAGTGCCAAATTTTTACGATGATGTTTAATAGATTCGGGAGTCCATTCGAGCTCTTTTTCCAGATAGGGAATGCTTCACACTTGTGCGACCATTAAACAATGAACACGATCTTCAACGGTTGGATCAGATTCCTGTGAGTTTTGTTCTAGTATTTATCTCTTGTAGAAATAAATTACATTCAGTTATTTATTTCTTTATTTCTCATCTAACTTTATCTATATTGCTCTTCTTATTATGCAGTTAGATAGACTCCGTCCCGAATTCAGATCAGGTTTAGATGCATTGACAAAATTTGTTCTTGAACGAAGCAGGCCTAAACAAGTAGGGGCTACTACTATGACCGGTCCTGTTCTTATTGGTCTCACACAAACTTTCTTGGATGCCTTCAATAATGGAGCTGTGCCTGCTATATCCTCTTCATGGAAGGTCAGTTTAGTTCTAATGATGAGAACACTGTATAATTTTATTATACTATTGTTATGATACTTTTTTGGGGGAGGTTGTTGCACAGGTTGCTTTTGAATCACAAATCTCTTGCATAATGCAAGGAGGCTTTACCTCTGGGTCTTGCTTATCTAATATATTTGATATTCTCTATTTTATTTTGTTTTTAACTTTCTTATCTTGTTTACAAAAGTATATTTTTCCTTTTACTCGGTCCTCTCTTTTCTCTGAAAGCTGATAGTGGTAAAAGGAACCTGTTGCTTTACTTTTTCCTTTAAAATTTTCTTTTATCCAAAGTTACCTCAGAAGGTAACCCCTTAGTTCATCAGTCTGTTGCCATGTCCTGTCAGCCAAGTAGTTAGATGCTGGAAGTTGGTAAATTTATAAAAATTATGTTTTCAGGATTATGAATGATATCAGCTAGGAGAAAACAGAAAGTTGGCAGTTTTCATTGGACTGGTGCTAAACACATGGTTGTGTGGATGTATAGACAGAACACAGTACCAACTTGTTGAAACGAAATATAGAATACCATCAATTGTACCTCTCATTGGTATTCATCAATTGTTGGTTTTTGAGCAACAGGTTAGGGTGACATGAAACTAGATATGTATTGCCTTTTCCAGTCAGTATCAGCAGCATGTTTGGTTTCAAACACACTGCTTCTTGAGTACAAATTTGTGGGATTTTGTTTTGTAGACTGTTGAAGAGGCTGAGTGCCACAAGGCATATGATTTTGCTGTTGATGTTTACAACACATCTTTTGACCGCACTAGACCAGCTGAGGAGGTAAAGGTCTTCATGTGAAGTATGCATTGCTAACTGCTTCATCAAGCTATGAAATTTTTTACTTTCCCTCTATCTATTTTTTTAGCCGATCATGAGAGAAGCACATGAAGCTGCTGTTCAAAACTCACTTGCTGCTTTTGGTGCTGCTGCTGTTGGGGCTGGTCCGACAAGGGTGACTTATGAAAAGCGTCTTCACAACTATTTCAGAAAAACATTTGAGGTGAACAATAGTTTTATTTTTCTCTTATTTAATAATTCTTTTGTTACTTATTTCATAATTTCTGGGAAATATTATCTTTGGTTCAAAATCTTTCTTGGTTTTTCATACTTATTATTAATATAATATAATATTATACTATTACTCTATGATTTAGTTTTATTGCAATGTTCTTCCATATCAATTGCTTACTGAAATGTGTTTTAAACATGTGATGTTTTTGTTGATATATCTGTGAAAAAAAATATGTTCAGCTTGTTTAGATATGTATTTTACTCTTTAGCCAACAGCTTAAAAGGAGTATAGCAATCAAGAAAACTATGGCTAAAGAGAAATATAAAAATTCTAAAGAAGTATATTTTTATTTGTTTATAGAACTAACAACATCTGCCAGCATAAATGTCTAAGATGTCAAGCTGCGACGTGCACAATGAGAATCAATAATATCGGTTTGATGTTTTTTTTCTTTTTTTTTTTTTGGTAACCAATACTAATTATGATCACTAATTTTTTGCTGTTTCAACCTTTTTTGTTGTCATCATCCGATGCTAGATTCTTCTTTCTAAATTATCGCAGTAAAAAATTGCATCGGAAGCCCTAGCAAGAGAAAACAGCTCCTTCTCATAGCCACGTCTCTACTGGTTTATTCAATATGGCAATGGATCAATGTTGAATATTTCTTATCATGAATAATACGACAATTTGAGTTCAGTCACTCTTTTCAGCCAATGCCCAGATGAACTTTTTTCTTCTCCTTTTTCTGGTGGGGGCGCGCAGGGGTGGGGGGAGTGATGGCTGATGAGGTATCCTTGTTATACTTCTGCTATTGAACTCTGGCTCAATAACTTTTAAGTAACACTCAGCTGCCTCCAGACCTTTAATGCTTTTGTTTGTCTTGTGTTCTATATAGAACATCTATGTTTCTACCCAAAGTGGGGTTCTTTCTTTTTCTCTTCTTTTGTGTGTGCATACGTGCGTGTGTGCGTGTGTGGATGCATGATATGAAACAGAACGAGAACTTTTGGGGGTAGTATTAGTTTGTCTACGTCCACAAACTGGACTTCCAGACTCATAATATTTCCTTCTGAAGCAATCTATTTGCACCTACCTCTTCCAAACTGAAGAGTTCATAAGAGTTCCAATCAGTTTTTTCTTCTCTATGATAATGCAAGTAAATGAGTCTATGAGAACATAATGTCACACCGTAATCTCTCACACCCAGTACAACTTATACATCTATAGTCACTTTGATGAGTTAAATCACAATCATTTGGGCAATAGAAGAGATTCTAAAGATCTCACAGAATAATGACTGAAGTAGAAAGGAATTTTTTTCAATAAATGAACAAGCCTATTAAGAAGTGTGAATTTTTTTGGCTCAAGAGATTGCTTTGGATAAGATAGAAGCTTATGAACAATGAAACTCATTAGTGTTAGAATGAAGTTGGTTCTTTTGAATGTGTGTTCACAAAAGGTCTCATCATAAGGCGTACGAAGCTGAAGTGTGGTTGAGAGAAGTCGATGCAAGTTATAATCATCAATTCGTATAAATAAAAAGACTCATACTAACTGAATTGTTCTCCTCTATACTTGAATGTACCTTTGAGGCATTCAGTGGCTCTTGTCAAGTTGTGAAAGTTTGTTCTTTATCTACTAGATTTAGCTTTGTGGAACTTTGAGCAGTGAATCATCCTTCACTTTTAGAATCTCGAACAGGACATACTAAACTGAACAGTCATTTGTATATATTTATTTAGTTTCAATTATCAAAATATAGAGCTCAACACAGGTGAGTTGGGATGAGCTAGAATATGGTCATTCAGCACATTAATATACTTTTCTGTAGGAATTATGAGTGCAACAATTTATTGCTAATTCTAATTTTCTTATTTGACCAGCATGGTCCGTTTTTTTTATGGAATATCATCTGCTAGTTATATAACTCGACTTTTGAAAATTTCTGCTGAGATTTTACTTACATTTCTCATCATTGTCCATTGCTGATTCAGGATTACAGCAGAACTGCTTTCCTAGAGGCAGATTTGCGATGTCAAGAAACCTTACAATGCATAGAAAAGAAGTTGCGAGCAGCTTGTCAGCTTCCTGACATTAAGCTTGATTATGTAATTCAGGTAGTGCTTTCTATATATCAGACATGGATATGACTTTTGGTTGGGATTCTGTATTTGTAAGCTGTTGCTTAATCTAGTGTTGAGTGCTTGTTTGGGATGTTGAGCTAGTGCAGGAGGCAATTGTATGGATAACTTGATTTTCTTCATGTCTTTTTAGGTATTGGATAGTTCGCTATCAGAATATGAGACATCTGCTCATGGCCCTGGAAAATGGAAATTGTTGGCTGCTTTCTTACTGCAGTGGTTTGTTGCTCCCCTGTTTATATGTAAATTTTAATTCTGTTCCCCTGTTGGGTCTGTTCTAAACATAATTAGCATGCTTTAGCGATCAGCACCTTTCATTTTTTGGCTGAGATGCTGGAACAGGATTGACAAATTATGTTTTGGTTAACCAATTGTTGTGTAGTATTCCAATATTGTTAGCATCTTGCTGTCTAAAATTTTGATCCAAAGATTTGGATCATACAGGATCCTGATGGAATGGTAATTTGTGATTTGATTGGATATATATACCTTTTGATATTATGATCCGATGAATCTTGTGACCCTCTTGGCCTTGTATCTCACATGCTCACTTTTGTAATGTAATTGTTGTACGGGTAGTAGCTACTTATCTGAACCTATAATAATTTGGTTCCTCTAGCAATCAAAATCTAATAATTTGGAAATTGTGTGTCTTCTGCAATGGATAAGTCTTTTCTCTCATTTCATGTTGTAGTATATGATGAATGTGTATTTTATTATTATTTATAAAAAAAAGTGCCATATCTTTGATAGCACCAAGTAGAATTAAAGAATTATGGTTTGATCCACATAAATGTTTACAATATTTTGATCTCAACAATATCTGTAATTATGATGTTCTTTTTTTCATCCTCAGCAGCGTCAGCGCTGACTCGTGTTCTTACTCTGCGCCTAGATATTTCTCGATCTATTTAGATAATTGTCACTTCAGGCCATTTAATACAAGTTCAGCCTGCATTCGAGGTCATTGTATACTATCTTTAAATTGATATTTTAATATTTTGCAGCTTGGAGGGGCCAGTACTGGATGTTTTAAAGAAACAGTTAGATCATGCCGAATCAGAAAAAGGTGCTCTTCTGTTGAAGTGCCGGTTAAATGAAGACAAGTTAATGTTGTTAAGGAAGCAGCTTGATGAAAATGAGAAGCACAAAGATGAATATATGAAACGTTACGAAGAAGTTATCAAGGAGAAGCAAAAAATATCCGAAGATTATAGCAGTCACATTTCAAATTTGCAGAGTAAATGCAGCACCATGGAGGAACGCTGCTCTAGTGTATCAAAAGCTCTCAATCTCGCTAAAAGAGAATCTTCTGATTGGAAAATTAAATATGATGATACTTGTATAGAATTGACGGATATGGATGAAAAATACACTACTCAAATTGCTGCACTTGAGTCTAGGATTAATGCTGCTGAAGGAAGATTAGCAGCAGCACGTGAACAGTCAGAAATTGCTCAAGAAGAAGCCTCAGAGTGGAAGCGGAAGTATGCTGCTGCTGTTGATGAGGTCAAAAAAGCATTGGAGAGAGCAGCATTAGCACAGGAACGTACAATAAAGGGGGCACGTGAAAGGGAAGATGCTCTGAGGGCAACATTCTTAGATGAAATGTCGGAAAAGGTATGCTGCTGATATTTTTATGGGAAAATTTTGCAAAACCCCTCCTTAACTTTGTCCATTTTTGAGATCACCCCTAACTGTTTTAATTATGCATGACACATTAGACTTGACAAAGTTATTTTTGGTTTTGGTTTTTTTTCTCTCTTTTTCATGGGGTTCAGTGGACTAAAAGAAGTTTGTGGGGTTATGTACAGAACCCCTCAAAGTTAAGGGGTTTTTGTGAAATTAAAATAGTTAAGCGGGGTTATCTCTAATGCGGCCAAAAGTAAGGGGGTTTATAAAAATTTAACCTATTTTTTTCTGCAATGATATTTACTTCATTACTAATATGTTTCAGGAAGAGGAAATCAAGAACTTAACTACAAAACTGGACAATGTTGAGAACCTCAGGAATACCCTAGTTGTGCAACTGAAGGTATAGTTCATTTCTCTCTGATAAGCTTTGTAGTCATTTATCTCAACCAGCACTAGCTTTTTCCTTCAGGAATTATTCTGGTATAGATGGTTATGTATTGATTATTATCATCTTGAATTCCCTCGCAGGATGCCGAGTCAAACTTCAAGAACAGGGAGCTGGAGGTTTCATCCTTGAAGGATGACATCAAGAACTTAATGGTGAAACTAGAAAGTGTTATCACTACAGCTCAATCGCACGAGAAAGAAGCCAGGATACTTGAGCAGGAAAAACATCATCTTCAAGAGAAATATTCAACTGAACACAAAAAACTTGATGAAATAAGTGAGAGGTACAAAGCTGCTGAAAACGATGCCAGAAAAGCAACAGAATTAGCAGATATTGCTCGTGCAGAGGCTGCTGCTGCCCAAAAAGAAAGGAGCGAAATTCAACGATTGGCAATTGAGAGACTGGCGATAATCGAAAAAACAGAAAGACAGGTCGACTACCTTAAACAAGAGAATACCAAACTGGTAACTGAAGTATCGGCATTGCGACAATCTGAGACAGATGCATATTCAAAAATTGCTATACTTGAGAGCAGAGTTGATGAGAGGGAGAGGGAAATCGAAGAAATGTTAAATAGGAGCAACGAGCAAAGGTCAAGCACAGTGCAAGTGCTCGAGAAGCTTCTAGCAACAGAAAGAGCAGCAGCAGCAGAAGCAAACAGCAGAGCTGAAGCTTTATCATTGCAGCTACAAGCAACTCAAGGTAAACTGGATGCACTTCATCATGAGTTAACATCAGTTCGTTTGAATGAGACAGCGCTTGATAGCAAGCTAAGAACTGTGTCCCATCATGGGAAAAGATCGAGGGCAGCAGGTAGTTGTATTGGTGCAGAATCCGTTGAGGACATGGACATTGATGGAGTTAAAGTTAAGGGTAAGAAGAGATCCAAGAGTACTACTAGCCCCTCGAAGTATTCTCAGGTGGAAGAAGTTAGCAACGGGAACGAGGAAAATCAAGGTACTGAGTCATGTGAGGATTATGCTAAGTTTACTGTTCAGAAACTGAAGCAGAAGCTCACAGAACAGGGATTTGGTGCAGAATTGTTGCAGCTGAAGACTCCGAGTAAGAAAGAGATTATTGGTCTCTATGAGAAGCATGTTCTCAATAGGTAGCAGCACAGGTTGTATCAATTAGAGTTTTTATTGGATTCTTGCAAGTAATATTAGTGGTTTATGTACAACAGGTTCTGAGATTGACGTGGTGGTTTTTTTTGGTTTTTTTTTATATGGGTTTAAGAGTGAGGTTTAGTGATCAGATATATAGAAGAGATCGATGAAAGAAGGAAAAAAAGATGTGACGAATGTACGGGCGAAGTTACTAGCTTGTTTCTTACTTTTCCAGACGGTTGTTTTTTATTGGCTTTTGGTCGTGCTGTATTTACCTCGTATCTTTGTTTCTTGTATTTACGGTATATGATTTGTCATGGACTGATTTTGTAATGACCAAAATGATTTGTTATAGTATGACTTCCCCCGTGATCAGATATTTTGTGCAACGGTTCTAAACTAGATTTTTTAGGAGAAATTATTACAATAGACCCATTTACAATTTTATTTCCCAAGATTGACTCATTTCAAATTTATTTACAAAAATAGATTTAGTTTTGCTCACATCAGCAGAGCTGGCCAAAACTTGTTTGATCTTACAAAAACGTTTCTTTTTAATTAGTTGGAGTTGCTAATCCCAACCAATTAGATGTTAGTTTCATTACATAGGCTAGTAGTGGGGCCTGAAAACCATTGTCCTAAATAGTCAAGGTTGACAACCTGATCATTTAGAAGGTTAATTAACCAGATTACTCATTAATCGGGGTTGGCAACTCTCACTAATTACAAAGAAAGTTTTTTGTCTAGTTAAAACTCGATCGATTTTTGTGAATAGGGAAAATTGTTTCCAGCCCCCAAAACAACCCGATTTGTTATAGTATGATTTGCCCCGTGATCAGATATTTTGTGCAACGGTTCTAAACTAGATTTTTTAGGAGAAATTATTACAATAGACCCATTTACAATTTTATTTCCCAAGATTGACTCATTTCAAATTTATTTACAAAAATAGATTCAGTTTTGCTCACATCAGCAGAGCAGGCCAAAACTTGTTTGATCTTAAAAAAAATGTTTCTTTTAAATTAGTTGGGGTTGCCAATCCAGACCATTTAGATGCTAGTTTCATTACACAGGCTAGTAGTAGGGCCTGAAACCATAGTTCTAAATAGTCAATGTTGACAACCTGGTCATTTAGAAGGTTAATTAACCAGATTATTCATAAACCGGGGTTGGCAACCCCGACTAATTACAAAGAAATTTTTTGATCTAGTTAAAACTCGGTCGATTTTTGTGAATATGTTTAAAGTGAGTTGACTTTGGTGAATAAAGTTATAAATGAGCCTGTTTTGTTATGAAACAATTAAATGGTGTGGATGTCCATTTAGTTTTCCAAAAAGATTGATACATGTATTACCCCTTGATATTCTCTATGAGTAATTAATATGATTCATGTATCATCATCTTAGTTTGTATATAAATAGAGGTATTCCTATCTCACTTTGTAAGAAGAAATTGAGAAAATAAAATTCTTTCTACTTCTTGTCTATTTTCTCTACTCTACTTTATTAGTTTTACAACACGTTGTCAGCACGAGACTCTACCATTGAAACAATCCATTTCAAGTCTATTAGATTCATCGTCGGGTACGTGTTCATATTTTGGGTAAACCTTTGAGATAAAATTTCTTTTTCCAATTCAATTCATTTTTCACTATAAATAACCTTACAAAACAAGAATTTATGCCTCTTGATATTTTTGGAAAGAACTACTTATCTTGGATGCTAGATGTTGAAATACATCTTGCTACAATGGGTCTTGAAAATACTATTGTGGAAGAAAAAATGAGACATCAAATCAAGACTGTGCCTAAGCTATGATTTTCCTTCGACATCATTTGGATGAAGGATTAAAAACTGAATATCTAACTGTGAAAGATCCACTTACTATGTGGAATAACTTAAAAAAGAGATTTACCACCTGAAGTTGGTCGTGCTCCCAAAAGCCTGGTATGACTGACTTCACTTAAGGCTACAAGATTTTAAACCAATTAGTGAGTATAATGCTGCAATGTATAAATTTACCTCTCAATTATAATTGTATGGAGAAAATGTCACTGATGACGATATATTAGAAAGAATATTCTCCACCTTTCATGCCTCGAATATGCTCCTGCAGCAGCAATATCGAGAGAGAGGATTTTAGAAATACTCAGAATTGATTTCATGCCTCCTTTTGGCTGAACAAAATAATAAATTATTATTAAAAAATCATGAATCCCGACCTACTTGTGCTAGCTCATTCCCTGAAGCGAATACAACTCAATCTCAAAATCATGGTCGTGGGCGTGGACATGACCGTGGAGGAGGCCGATGACGTAGCTGTTATTGTGGACGAGGTCGTGGCAGATATGTGCCCTATAACCACAATGATCATAACCATGGAAAAAGACAAAACAACTCCCAAAAGTGGGACAATAATGATAAAAAAAGTGAAGAAAATAAACATTATGAGGAAATATGCTACCGGTGTGGAATAGAAGGCCATTGGTCCCATACCTGTTGTACGACAAAATATCTTGTTGTCATCTATCAAGCATCATTAAAAGGGAAAGACAAAAAATGACGAGACAAATTTCATTGATCAAAATAATATTTATGATGATCTTGATGATATCACACACCTCGATGTAGCTGATTTCCTTGAGCAACCTGAAGTTGTGAAATGATCTTATGACAAATACCCGACATTTGAATTTTGTTATTTTTTCGCATCTTTTATGTAATTTTCTTTATGAATTTGATAATTTATGAACTTTATTGATATTTACTTTTGTTTGTAATTTTCTTTGTTATTTCTTCCTGAAGAAGATATGGATGCCAAATATTCGGGATCAAACAATGGTGATGATAATATTTGTCTCATTGATAGTGCTACTACACACACTATACTTAAAAACATGAAGTATTTTTCTCATTTGAAAATGAAAGAAACAAATGTTAACACAATAAGTGGTAGTGCTAAAATGATTGATGGCTCCAGAAGAGCCACTGTATTTCTCCCCGAAGGAACTAAAATTGTCATAAATAATGCACTACTTTTGATAAAATCTCAAAGAAATTTGCTAAGTTTTAAAGATATCCGCCGAAATGGATATCATATTGAGACAATGAAATGGTGAATACTTATTAATTACAAATACCATTTCTGAGAAGAAGTGCATATTAGAAAAGCTGCATTCTCTATCTTCTGGTTTATATTATACAAAAATAAGTGCAGCTGAAATTTATCACCTTATAGACTAGAAACCTACTAATCCCAATGATTTTATGATTTGGCATGATCACCTTGGACATCCTGGTTCTATAATGATGAGGCGAATAATTACAAATTCACATGGCCATTCATTAAAAAATCAAAAAAATACTAAATTCTAATGAATTCTCATGTATTGCTTGCTCCCAAGGGAAGTTAATTGTTAGACCATCACCAACGAAAGTGGGAACTGAATCCCCTGTATTTCTAGAACGAATTCATGGTGATATATGTGGGCATGTAGATCCACTATGTGGACCATTTAGATATTTTATGGTGCTAATTTATGCATCAACAAGATGGTCACATGTATGTTTATTATCTAGTCGCAACCTGGCGTTTGCGAGATTGCTTGCTCAGGTAATTAAATTACAAACACAATTTCCTGATTATCCTATTAAGAAAATTCGTTTAGATAATGCTGGTGAATATTCATCACATGCTTTTGATGACTATTGCATATCTATTGGAATAAGTGTTGAACATCCTCTCATGTTCATACACAAAATGGTCTAGCCGAATTATTTATTAAACGGCTTTAATTAATTGTTAGACCATTGTTAATGAGGTCTAAACTTCCTTTATCTGTTTGGGGATATGCTATATTACATGCAGCAACACTTGTGAGAATTAGGCCGACATGTTATCATACTTATTCTCTCTTACAATTAGTTCTTGGCCACGAGCCCAATATTTTTTATTTAAGAATTTTTGGTTGTACGATATATGTTCCTATTGTACCGCTTCAACGTATTAAAATGGGCCCTCAAAGAAGATTGGGGATATATGTCGGGTATGAATCACCATCTATAATTAAATATATTGAACCATTAATATGTGACTTGTTTACTACAAGATTTGCAGATTGTCATTTTGATGAATCACATTTCCCAACATTAGGGGGAGGTAAAGATCAACCGAAAAAGGAAATTACTTGAAAAATATCATTAGACTTTACTGATCCTCGTACAAAAGAATGTGAACTGGAAGTTAAAAGGATTATACATTTACAGAAAATTACAAACCAATTACCGGATGCTAGTGATTCTAGAAGAATTACTAAATCACATATTCTAGTAAAAATACTTCGATTAAAATTGATATCCTTGAAGGACAAATTAAAAGTGCTAACAAATCTAAAGCACGCCTGAAGCGTGGTAGACCTCTTGGTTCTAAAGAAAAGAATCCTCAAAAGAAAAGAGGATCGAATGATCAAAATATTGCTAATGACAAAATTCAACCTCCTGAAGAGGTCGCTCCTGAAGGTCCAACTCCCAGAGAGAATGAAACTATAGAAAATTAAATAAAATGAGAAGTAATTGTCGATAATGCATTTGCATATAATGTAGCACTTGGTATTATGGAAGAAGACGAGGACCATGAACCCAAATCGGTTGATGAATATCGGTGAAGAAATGATTGGTCAAAATGGAAAGATGCGATCCAATCTGAATTAGATTCACTGGCTAAACGAAAAGTTTTTGGATCTGTAGTCCAAACACCTGAAGGTGTAAAGCCAGTAGGATATAAATGTGTATTTGTAAGAAAAAGAAATGAGAAAAATAAAATTGTGAGATATAAAGCAAGACTTGTAGCCCAAGGATTTTCACAAAGACCGGGATTTGATTATGATGAGACATATTCTCCAGTAATGGATGGAATTATATTTAGATATCTTGTGAGTTTAGCAGTACATGAAAAACTTGATATGCATCTGATGGACGTAATCGCTGCTTATTTATATGGAACATTAGATAATGATATCTATATGAAACTCCCCGAAGGATTTAGCATGCCTGAAGCATGTAAATCAAATCCTAGAGAAATGTACTCCATTAAGTTGCAAAGATTTTTGTATGGACTCTAGAAATCTGGACGAATGTGGTATAACCACCTTAGTGAATGTTTAGTCAAAGACGGGTATACAAATGACCCTATATGGCCATGTGTTTTCATAAAAAGGAATGTGTCAAATTTTGTGATCATTGTTGTATGTTGATGACCTTAATCTGATTGGAACCCCTGAAGAGCTCTAAAAGGCGATTGAATATTTGAAGAAAGAATTTGAGATCAAAGATTTTAGGAAAACCAAATTTTGCCTTGGTTTATAAATTGAGCATTTAGAAAATGAGATTTTTGTTCACCAAATTGCTTATACCGAGAAGGTATTAAAGCAGTTCTACATGGATAAAGCACATCCATTAAGTACCTCAATGGTCATCAGGTCACTTGATCCTACTAAGGATCCTTTTAGACCAAAAGAGGAAGATGAATTCTTAGTCTTGAAGTATCATATCTCAGTGCAATAGGTGCACTAATGTATCTTGCTAATTGTACATGATCAGATATATTATTTTCTGTGAATTTATTAGCAAGATTTAGTTCATCTCCTACAAAACGATATTGGAATGGTATAAAGCATATTTTTCACTATCTCCAAGGAACAATTGATCTTGGCTTATTTTATTCTTATAATTCTCGACCTGATTGTTGGCCTTCTTGTTTTGATGATGTTTAACAAATAATTTACTTCTAATATTGTTTGTCTAGTGTTTGTGTTTTCGTATTTATTCTAGGCAAACAACGAGTTGGAGGATGGATGGAATAGAGCTTCACGATCATATCCAATTGAGGTTGGCGGAATAGTGGAGTGAAGTCTTGCTATTCAAGTTGAAGATCCAAGTCAAGCTTCTTCCGCAAGTTTACCAAGTTGAGCTACAATGAAGATCAAGATCAAGCTTGGGTAGCATTTAGTTTAGGAGTTTATATTATGTGTGTTAGTACTTTAATCTCAATCATATACACACATACACGTTTTGGTTTTGTATATATATATAGTTATATATATACATATATGTTTTGGTTTGATAGTTTTTAAGTTTTAATATGAAACAATTTAATATAATTAGAAAACATATTTTTGTTTCATACTTATATGCATATATATGATTTCATTAATATCAATTTTATTTAGCTCAATGAAATCATGTTTTAGTGTATTATATGTGTATTTTGATAAAATACTATATTCATTGTTTATAGACTTCATAACAATAACTTACATCTTTCTTCAAGTCTATAAAATTATTTTGTAAAGTTTCAAAACATGGTTTAGCCTAAATATCAAAATTCATTTGTTTACATTTTCGTGTTTTGAACTATTCTGCAAAATGATGATATTTCTCATTTAGGGAGTCCTTTTAGAAAACCAGTTTTTGTAGCATGTATATTATCATGTCTACAACCATTTCCCAAAGTTTTATAACTTTTGGAATTTATTTGATATTTTTAAACAGTGTTTTAAATTCAGCAAACTGTTTTCAAAACCTTCAATTTTTATATATCAGTTCACGGTCGACCGCCACGGTCGGCCGTGCCTGAGTTCTTTCGTCAGTGGGCAGTAGAGACTTTCACGGTCGACCGTCGCGGTCGACCGTGAGCTCGAGATTTCCCACGGTCGACCGCCACGGTCGACCGCCACGGTCGACCGCCGAAGTCTCTAGAGCATTTTCCTGTTGTTTTTGTTGCTCGCGGTCGACCGTCACGGTCGATCGCCGTTTATCCCAACGGCTCTTTTGATACAGAATCAGATTTCTAATTCTTGGGCTGTTTGGTCTTTTCCCTTGGGGTTTTACTGTTGCTTCCTCTTCCTATATAAACCCCCAAACCCCCTTCTATTTCAGCAACTAAGAGAGTGTTTTTAAAACAAGTTTAAAGAGTTTTAAACAAGGGTTTAAGTTTGGTTTAAGAAGCTTTTAAGCATTTGGAAGTTTGAGTTTGTAAAATCAATTTCGCAAGAGCTTGAGGAGACCATCTATTGGTGTTTGGGCATCCAACTATTCTCCCTCCACCTCTTGATCTATTGAGAAGTTTTCTAAACTCTATTTCTAGCTTTACATCTATTTATTTGATTATCATTTTATTAAAGCTAGTGTTCATATTGAGTTTAGTTGATTTGATTTCACTCATTATTTACACACACACACTTGAGCTTATTGTATTTGCATACATTATATATTTGGGTTGGTGAGAGTTGTAACAATTGAGTGTGAGCTTTCATTGTGTTCTCATCCATATTAGAGAACAATCATTTATTGTATTTATGCTTATTGTGAGATACACTTTGTAATATACTTGTACACCGAGAGGAGTGTGTGGTGAGAGTCGGGGATCGTCCCAAGAGGAGTGGCGTCGGTTAATGAACCTGGGGAGAGGTTGTAACCGAGCACTTGAGGGAGACACGGCTAGGTCCAACACTTGTGAGGGTGTAGAGTGGGTTTGCAAGAGTGTGGGTTGTAGAGTTTTCGGTTAGCTAGAAAACCAAGTGTGTAGAAGTTCCGGCTTCCAAACCGGATTGTGATAGTGGATTTCTCCTCGAGGTGATGAGCGGGGACGTAGGTCGTGGTGACCGAACCTCGTAAACATATAGTTTGTTTGTGTTTTGCTTAGCGTAATTTTTATTTGTGCTTATTCATATCTCTCTTGCTCATATCTATGTTATATCATTCGTGCAAGAACAAATTAATCAATATTAATTTAATTGGCTTTTAATCGGGATTAGATTAGCATAACACCCTAATCACCCCCTAGGGTCTAACACTGATTGCTTGGATATGCTGATGCTAGGTATTTATCTGACCCGCATAAAACAATGCCTCAAACTAGTTATTTATTTACATGTGGTGATACTGCTATTCATGGCGATCTACGAAGCAATCAATTGCTGCCACTTCTTCGAATCATGCTGAAATAATAGCAATTCATGAAGCCAGTCGAGAATGTATTTGGCTAAGATCAATGATCCACTATATCCGGAATAATAGTGGATTGTCTCCTGAAAATAAAAATCCTCCGACTATTTTGTTTGAAGACAATGCAGCTTGTATAGCTCAATTAAAAGGAGGATATATTATAGCAGATAGAATGAAACACATTTCACCAAAATTCTTCTTTACACATGATTTGCAAAAGAATGGTGAAATCGTTGTGCAACAAATTCGATCGAGTGATAATCTGGCAGATTTATTCACCAAGACATTGTTAATTGTAACTTTTGAGAAATTGGTAAAAAAAATATTGGAATGCATCGGTTGAAAGATCTCAAATGATATATGAATCAGTGGAAAAAACTAATACACAAAAATAGTGTACTCTTTTTTCTTTACTAAGATTTTTTTCCCACTGGGTTTTTCCTAGTAAAGTTTTATGAGGCATATTCTTTGTGTAATGTTGGACATCCAAGGGGGAGTGTTATGAAACAATTAAATGATGTGGATGTCCATTTAGTTTTCTAAAGAGATTGATACATGTATCATTATTACCCATTGATATTCTCTATGAGTAATTTATATGATTCATGTATCATCATTTTAGTTTGTATATAAATAGAGTTATTCCTACCTCACTTTGTAAGGAAAAATTGAGGAAATAAAATTCTTTCTACTTCTTGTCTACTTTCTCTACTCTACTTTATTAGTTTTACAACATCTTTATTTTTCTCATTTATATATATATATATATATATATATATATATATATATAGAGAGAGAGAGAGAGAGAGAGAGAGAGAAATATGGGTATGCTTGGTACGAAACATAAATTTTGTGTTTCGTAATGAGGTGGCACAATCCCCTCCACTCATTCAAATGGGGATCACATTCACATGGGATCAACTCATTCTTCCTCTAGTTGGGAACCAAACTCAAAAAAGAAAAGCATCATTGGAAATGGTTTCCTATAATGTACTTTTCATTTCCTTTTTTCCCCCACCAAACAGGCCCTTATTAAACAGATTGATTTACAAAGTTAGGCTTATACGGATCATATAAAATCTGGGATGGGAACCGCATCCGAATATTCGAACCCAACCAGACACCTCACCCCACAAAGCCCAAAACCCTAATCCCGTCGGACGTGGACTCCACCAAGAGTCCGAAGTCAACACCTACGAACTCTCCCAATGTGTAATACCAAATCTACCCCTACTTCTTACCCTTGTCCTCCTCTCAGCTCCAGGGGTAAAGTAGTCAACTTCGTCTAATTCAAAACTTTCCCCTTCTATTCTCTCCAGTTTCTAGTCTCCTTCAAATAATATTTAAAACTTGGCAACAAAAGACCGTAGAAAACAAACTCAGGAAAAAGATAGAAACGATGGAAGATTGCAGGCCATTGGGTTTCCTGATCGGCCTCCCGTTTGCGATTCTCGCATTGGCGCTGTCTGTAGTTGGCGCAGTCGTGTGGATTCTTGGGTCAGTGATCGATTTCTCACAAATCCCAATTTCTTATTTTTGTTTGTTTTAAATTTTTACTTCAAATTTGAGATTTATTTTGATCTCGTCTTTTGTTTTGGAACAATGCAGGACGATTCTGAGCTGTTTGTGCCCGTGCTGTGTTTGCTTTGCTGGGCTGGCGAATTTGGCTGTGGATCTCATCAAGTTGCCGGTGAAAGTGATCCACTGCTTTGTTGATAAGATCCCGTGTTAGCTATTTTTAGTTTTAGATTCTTGATGGTGGAATTGGATGGATTCAACATTGATTTTTATTTTTTAATTTTTTAATTTTTTCCAGAGAGGTAATTTGAAGTTGGTTCGTATGCTCGGTTTGTTTCTATCATGTAGATTGATTTGTCGGGGAGTACAGTTTTTATTTTTATATTTCTGAGATAGAATGGAAATATCAAAAGATATGTAGTGTGTGTTGGGAATGTATCTTTGATTCTTTGTAGAAATTCATAAGAATTAGATAGGGTTAGAGATCTATAATGATTAGGAGATTTGGTCCCATTAGGAGTTTGAATTCTATTCTAGTTAAGAAGTTATGCTAGAGATAAGGTTTTAATTTATATATATATATTCTTCTATTGTTGAAGGAAAAACCAAAGGAGGAAAGTAGAGAGCGCCAATATTTTTATAATCTAGGGTTAGCAGAGGGCGTAGCCTAATTCAAAAATATTGTGCGAGAGGTGAGTGTTTCGTAGTCTTTGTTCATGTAAAAGATTACAATATTAGGAGAAATCTTCGCAGTGTTTGTTTATTCAAAAGATTGTAATTAAGGAGGGGGTTTTGGAGAGAATATAAGAGTTGATTGTGTATGTGAGATCGAGAGATTGAGAGGTGAATGTCTTGTATTGTTGTCCCGTGAATGTAGGTAGAAGTTGGTTGACCAAACCACATAAATCTCGGTGTTCTTTCTTCTTAATTGTAGTTGTTAATGACTACGACCAAATAGTCAATTGGATCCGCGCTGTGATTGAAACTGATCCAGAACTAGATCGGTCCCTCTAGGGTTCTCGCTGGGACGGAGTAGGGGAGAGTGATGAAGGGGTCACTTCCTTCTCCGACTTTATACCTGGTTCTTGAACGGGGGCTTAATGTCCACGCTGCACAGACAAGGAGAACCCGTGAGAGGACGGGGACCGGTTCCCCTGTGGTTTCTCCGACGGTCAAGTTAGTGAAACTCGAGTGGAGAAGGGGAATGCTATGAACCGAGGTGGTTCTTGAAGTGGCAATGTGCATACCTCTACGTGAGCGCCTCTGTGTAGACGAAGAATTGTGTGTTCTCTCTCTTTTTTGAGAGAGAGCTTCTTTTTTTAGATCTTGCCCCCCTTTGGAGATTAGGAGTCTACCTGTATATATCTCTGTTGTCCGAATTAATAGGTCACCTCTAGCCTTGCATAGGGAGGCGATGATGAAGTGTGGCTAAGAGCCAAGTCATCCTTCGTTTTACATGTGTCGGCTGGCAACTGGAGGGGAAGTTACTTCAGTACGTGAGATGGTGTCTTCGTATTTTTCGGGAAGTAATTGAGAGCGTGGCAGAAGGCACGCTGGCATGCTGAGTCATCCCTCTCTTATAGGTGTTGGCTGGCGACTGAAGGGGAAGTCACTTCGACACGGGAGAGGGTATCTCCGTATTTATCGGAAAGTGATTAAGAGCGTGACAGAAGTCACGCTAGCATGCTGAGTCATCCCTCGATTTACAGGTGTCGGCTGGCGACTGGAGGGGAAGTCACTTCGGCACGGGAGAGGGTGCCTGCGCATTTTCCGAGAAGTGATTGAGAGCGTGGCAGAAGGCACGTAAGCAGCTGACAAGACATGGAGACTATCAGACCAAAATATGGATAAGGCTTGTCCGAGGTGGACTGGGATGCTGACATATGCTCTGGGGGAGAGGCTTGAGGCAGGGGTCGAGTCCTCAACTTTGCCGACAGCAGGGAATGTCCGTCAAGTCGTCTCCGTGAGTTGCTAAGTGAGTGGTTGAGCGCCCTAGGTGAGTCGTCCTCGATGATAGGGTCGACTGATCCCGCCTTTCGTGTCGGCATGAAAGAATGTCGACTTGATGAGTCGGCGGGGTCAAGGCCTCTATTGGGCTTGGGCCACTTAAGTTGGTTAAGGTCATTCTGTCAGGACTCTTGTTGTATTATTTTATAAATACATGTATCTTGGGTGAGTGAACACCATAATAGTTGGCCATTTTCGCTTGGAGTCAACTTTTAGTTGGGTCTGAGTGAAATAAGACATGTTCTGATCAATACAAGTCTGTTGGGGACGAGAAAATAAGAAGTCTCTGTCTTAGAGACGTGGCTGACATCATCAGGCATCCTTCTTTACCTATCATGACTCCACTTTTCATGGCTGATGTTATCAAAGATTTGAACCGTCATTTTGGGAAACGAAGCGCCATGTGGCATAATAGAGGATCTTCCGCTTTTCGAGTATTGAAACGTGGGATATTAAATGAGTGCAACGCTTCGTATTTCGAGTGAACTACTTCAGATTCTAAAGTGGATCTGACTTGGTTGCTTCGAAAATCATCACGTCCTTTGAAATCCTTCCACACACTTCTTCGAAAATTTATAAATGGTTTCTTGATGTGAAAATAATTCTTTTATGAACTTTCATTCTGACAAATTCCTAATATTCCTCCAAGCTTTTTTTAAAAAAAATCTTCCATGACCTCAAGTTTCAACCTCTAGCCGTAGTGAGGAGAAACTTGCTATTCTTCTACTTATCCGCTCGAATGTTCATATGGACAATCTGGTGAGAATGTATGATCAACACAATATACATTGGACTCTTACATTGGCTGCGCCGGAGATGAGCGAGCCTGTGTATTATCATGACGAGGGTTGAGTGCTGCTGTACCTGGCCCACTTGGAGCATGGCTTATGGCTGTTCTTACATCCTTTTATTAAGGAGGTGCACGTCGCTCTAGGAGTCTCCCCTTCCCAGTTCTATTCGAATACAGTGGGGATTCTGGTGTCTTTCATTATCGTTTGTCACCGTGTTGGAGTCCAACCAAGCTTGAGATTGCTTAAACATTTGATTAGTGTGGGGTCGGCTGAGAAGAACTCGCATTACTTCTACCACTATCCTGGTGAGTTCCAACTTGTCTCAGACTCTTTGGAGTTGGATGAGGACTGGAGGAGGCGATTCATGTGCGTTTTGAAAGCACCCTAGAGGAGGAGGGGGGGTGAATAGGGTTTATGCTAATCTAATCCGATTTTATGCTAATTAAAACTAATTAACAAGTTATCCTATCAAATATGATATACTACAAGATATATGCAATGATAAGCAATATAAAGGGTGAAATAAACAAAAACAAACAAGAGTGATAGTGCACAAATAAACCAACACAAACACTAGCAAATGATCACGGAGTTCGGACCTTTCATCCTACGTCACTGCTCCCCACTCCCGGGGAGAAATCCACTATCACATCGGGTTTTCAACGCTCACCCGAAAACATTTACACCTCACGCTCGGTTTTCTAGCTCACCGAAAACTTTACAATCAACACTCTTGCAATCATACTCTACACCCTCTAAGTGTTGGTCTCTAACTCGTATCTCCCTCAAGTGTTAGGAATTATAACCTACCTCTAGGCATTACCACCTATCCCACTCCTCTTGGGACGACCTCGTTCTCACGACACACTCTTCTCGGTGTACAAGTGTATTAAAAAGTGATCTCACAAATTAAGCACAAATATAATAAATTTATTCTTTACAATGAATGAGAAATCTATGTAGGCTCACACTCAATTGTTACAACTCTCACAACCCTAATAATACTATGTATGAAAATACTTAAGCTCAAGTGGGTGTGTGTAAACAATGAAATCAATACTAAACTCAAATATGAAATCTAGCTTAAGAACAATGATAATCAAACGCGTATATAAATGTAAAACTAGAGTTTGAGTTTAGAAAACTTCTCCAATGAATAACAAGAGAGAGAGAGAGAGAGAGAGAGAGAGAGAGAGAGAGAGAGAGAGAGAGAGGGAGAGAGGGAGAGAGGGAGAGATATATGAGTTGAAGCTCAAACACCAAAGGATGATCTCTTCTAGCTCTTATGAAAATTTCTTTACAAACCAAACTCTTAAACAAACACTAAAACAAACTTAACATCCTTTAAACTTGTTTAAAAACTTTCTTGGATTGATTTAGAACTGAGAATATGTGGGGGTATTTATAGGAAACCTCAAAGCCAAGAAGAACCCAACAAAACCCAACAAAAAGATAAAAATAACAAAAATAAAAAAACTAGCTGTTACAACATCAGTCGATTGATAGGTTTCATCAGTCGACTGATGAGCTGACCGTTATAGATATTTTTCAGCTCATCAATCGACTGACGACCTCATCAGTCGACTGGTCAGTCGACCAACATAGAAACATAAACTTTTGGCTATTACAGACGTTTTCTTTAGTCGACTGAACACATGTATCAGTCGACTGATAACACTTTATCAGCCTGATTTGAATAGTAAAACCTATTTTTGAAGAGCCTTTAAAAATAACAAATAAATTTAAAAAAATATAAAACTTTAGAAAATGATTGTAACATGAAAATGAACATGTTACAAAAACTAGTTTTTAAAAAACACCTCCCATTTGTAAAATATCATCATTTTGCAAATATGTCCAAAATATGAAAATATGAGATACTTGAATTTTGATGTTTTGACATAAACCAAGTTTTAAAATTTTGTAAACCAATTTTATAGACTTGATTAAAGATATAAACTATTGTTATTAAGTCTATAAACCAAAAACTCAATATTATGCAAAAATGAAGTTTTGCACAATATGCATTTAATATATGAAATATAAAATATGTATATGAATGTATATTTGTTTCATATCTATATAAAACTTAACCAAATCAAAACAATAAATATAAAATATGTAATTTCATATTTATATAAACTTGAAAACCAAAACATGTATGTATATATATAACTATATATATACATAGAAACCAAAAACTAAAATGTGTATATATATATATATATATATATATAGCAGCACAGACACTTGTGATTGTAGTTGGATCTTTGCATCAACTTATTGATTTCATAATTCACTTTAGGATGATTGCTGATATAGTCTGGAGTCTGGACCAACAAAGCAACAACTATTATTTGTTTGACCATGTGAGGGAGCAGGGTGCCCCCTTTGGCCTACTTCATGAGCTTTAATGCTTGACTGGCCCCTAACTTAAGTCCAAATTAATCTAGAGCTGTATGCATAATATACAGGACATCACACTTGAGTTTCTGCCTCTAAAAGACTCCACTGTGGGAAAATGCAAGTTAAATGCTCGTCAGATGCTGCTGATTGAGGTGCAAGTACAAGTGTTTGGAATTACTAATACAAGTGCTTGGAAGGATCTTAGTGAGCTT